CTCCTCAGCTGTCAACCAGCTGTTCAGCTCAAAGGCGGCTTCTGTGAACTGCTGGCGGCGGGCTGCGGAGCCCCAGAGTGTGCCGGTCAACGGGCTGGCAGGCTGTGGCTGCTGACGGACACTGTTGGCCCCCATGCACTCGCTGGCCTCTGTGCGCAGGGACCGATGGTGTCAGGCAATTGCCCCGGCCCCTGCCTCGCCTTGCCCTGCGACAATGGCAACCTGCCCTGCCTCACCTTGCATCACCTTGCCCTGCGACAATGGCACCCTGCCCTGCCTCACCTTGCCTCGCCTTACCCCGCAGGATGAGCCTCCTGCCCACCGCCCCATCTGCCACAGACCCCCTGGATCTCCCCCAGCCCTGCCAGTCCCCCACAAGCATCCCTCCCCATGAGAAACATTGAGGTGACCATGCCCACCTTGCCCACACCCACCCAGTCTGCCATGACCACCACAGCCACGCCCACCCAGTGGGCCATGCCAACCTGGCACCGAGCGATAAATGTGAGTTTTGGGTTGCAGTTTGGGCAATTGGTCTCTAAAAGGTACACCATCACTGAACTATGCAATGTCTGCTGCTAAGATTGCCTTCAGGAGGAAGGGAGGGGAGAGGAGGGGAGGGGAAGGAAAGAAGGAAAATATCGTATCTTAAAGCAAAAGGAGTCAAAGAGATGTACTACACACATAGTACATCTTAATGTCATAAGAGATATTACAATAAAATTGATTATTCATGAGCATGAACCCTTATCTTGCCTAAGTCCTTGATCTACATGTCATATGTTGCAGAAGATCACCAGAAGTCTTAATAATTACCACCCAAAAAATGTTTGTCAGATAGAAAGGGTCATGTTACGTGAAACAAAGAAAAATACACATATCTGTCTCTTCTGTGTAAACTGTTTTTGTCAGCTTGGGTTTCTAAAGAGTTAATAATCTGCCAGTTCCCACTTTGTACCCTATTCAAAAGGAATTCATTTCCAAAAAGATCCAGGGCAGAGAAATGCAAATAAGTGTTTCGGACAGCTGCAGGCTGTATGCCTTTCTGAGATGCCAGGGCCCCAAATGAGACATGTCAGAGTACAAATTGAAAATGCCAATTTCACTTATTCTGCCACGCTGCTCGTCACAGCTAAATTCTTCTCTGCCACCCTCCCAAAACACTTTTCTCTTTCCAAATGATGGGTGCTTTTCCTTTATGTAAATATACGTAACCTTTTTTGAGTTATTCCTATCGACAGCTTCTTCAGCCTGTTTCCAATTAGTCTAACACAACCAGAAAAGAATGGGACATGAACACACAATCACACACACTTACACAATTGCATGTATCACATTATGCAAACATCAATTATTTTCAAGTCTCTACTGATCTTTAAGTAGTTTATATATTGTATTGCATAAAGATATTACTGATGTGAGCTTATATTAGCTGCCCTTCAATTATCTGAACTTGTGATTATACAGTCTGTATTTAGAGTTCTATATTCTATTCTTTGGAGCAGATATTTGGTATAACAGACCAGCCTTTCCAAATTGATGTTATCCAGGTAACCTTCGGCAGTTAACCTGGACAGTGCCATACTGGCTGAAGGATTATTCTAGGAAAGACCTTTATGGAAGAGAAATAAAATGAATGAATGATTGATTGATTGTTCTATCAAGTTGTTGATTCCTGGCAACCAAATAGATGTTCTCCATGACAATATAATAATAGTTCAGATAAATACATCAACCCCCAGATGGGATATTTAGTTGAAATGCCTTAATGGTTGAATTTAATATATATATTTTTTATTTTAAAACAATTTAATATCATATTCTGCACTTCAGGCAAGACTTCCTCAAATTGGTACTCTTCAGATATATTATTCAGTGACTCAGGGCATATATATGTGAAGAATGCTAAATAGGTAAAACAGGTTTTTAAACAACTGAATTTAATTAAATAATATTTTGTATCATTAATATCATAGATCAGGAGCTGATAAATTTTTCAGGCTTGGGTGCCATTGTAGCAGCTCATATAATGGGCCAATATCTGTCAGGCACAAACAATCAGATCCACATGTGAAGACTTCAATTAGCTATTTTATTGCTTAAGCAATAAAAGGAATCTTCTCAAATTGGCAGTTTGCACCTGGATCAGACTAGATAAGGTTCAATAGCATTCAAAGGAAGTCAGACTTCCTCTTCTTATGCACACATAGGAATTCCAGACTAATTCCCTGTTTGATGATTCCTCTCTCTCCAACAATATCTTACAAATGCCAAGATCTTAAATTTCAGTAGTTTTAACCTATTTTTCAGAACAAGACCAAAATCTCTCCAGGTAGTCCTTGGGTTACAACTATTTGTTCAATGACGAGACTTGCAATGGCATTGAACAAGAGAGACTTATGATGAGTCTTCAGAGTTCTGGCTGTTGCGGCATCTGTGCAGTTATGTGATTATAATCTAGGCCCTTGGTGCCTGGTTCATGATTATGATATCATAGTAAGGCATAGTCCCATGATCACAGTTTGCTAGCTTCTCAAAACAAAGATAATGGGGAAATGTCAGGAGTTACAAGTTGCAATCACATGAGGTAGTTGCTTAACTATCTCCTCAGCTCTTGCTTAATGACAACAATCAGGTCTGACAGAATTATTGTCACTAAACAATGGGGTCATATGAAAACTGTAATCCTTAGCAGTGGCAATCCCAGTCCCAATTATCATCATAAACTAAGAACTACCCTCATAGAGAGCTTGGCCATTGTTATTTAATATGGGAAAACATGAACATTATTCTAGTGTGTAAGTGTGTGCTCTATGCCTATGAGTGCTATGTGACTAACCCTTATTGCAGGGGTATCAAACTCAATTTCATTGAGGGCTGCATCAGCATTGCGGTTGCCCTCGGGGGGCCAGGTGGGTGTAGCCTGTCAGGTGAGCGTGGCTGGAGTGTGTGTGGCCTATTGGGTGGACATGGCCAGCTCATTTGCGTCAAGGGTGCCTGTGGGGGCCTGGGCAGGAGTGGGACAGATCTGAGGGTCTCTGGCAAAAGGGGGTGGGACTGGGGCAAGTGCTAAGGCATGGTGCATTTCTTCATTCCTCACAAAGAGTGACACCTCACCAGCATGCACCCAGGGGGCAGGGCCGACACAGCAGGAGCTGGTTCCTCACTGTTTCTAGATGGCCTTGTGGAGCTAAGACTGAATGCATTTCAGTATAGATGGCCACCACAAAATTGTACATTGGCTACCAGCCAGCCTGGGCCAGGGCCAAGGCAGTGGGGGCCATTCCTTCACTGTTTCCAGGATGGCTTCACGGGCCACATGAAACCACTTTGCAGACCGCACCCGGTCCCCAGGCCTTGTGTTTGACATGTCTGCGTTATTGTATGGATAGGGCTTGTGACCTATATTTCTATAGTATGTACCTCATATTGTGATTTTGTGTTGTAAAAAGAAGAAGATTGGTCACATTGTTTCACACAGCTCTCAGGAAATCAGTGTTTCTGTTGTGTGTTTTGTTTCTCATTCTATATGCATGACAGTTCACTTGTATTCTGTATGCTTTATAGCTATTTTTTCCCCCCAAAAATACAAATTAAGACAAATTGGATTTTCAGGGAAGTTGAAGAGGAGAAAGGAAAAGAAAGCGAGACTTGGAAGGATAGGGGTTGGGGAAGATACTTAATGCCTTCTTCATCTTTTTGGCTGTCTTATGCCTTGGTGGCTAATATAGTGCTATGGCTGAGTAAGGAGGGGGTGTTTCCAGAGCAGGGGGAAAGCTGCACCTGTAGTATCCATAGTTCCCTAACAAACTCCAGCAAGCTATGAATCTTTCATTTAATCTCTCCTGACACGCCTGTCATTTTCTCCGGAGAAAAGCAGAGAATCTTTCGCCAAAGGAGGTCATTAGCTGTCAGGGAAGGTTCCGACTGCCTTCCTGTCTTCATATCGATTAAGCCTCCACATGCACGCAGGCACTGTGAAGGGAATATTGATGAGGCTGCAAGAAGTTTGTCTGAAGCAAGAGATTGGCTTAGGTTTATTTTTCACGGAGATAGATGGGATGAAGGCTCATGGTGATGTAGGATGGAAATACAATTCCCAATTTGTGTGCCTTTGTAATCATCCTTCTTAGAGAGATAGTCTTCCTTAAGTCCGTTGCATTTTCATTTTCTTTCCTGCTGTAGAAGAAGCTGAACAGCATTTGCCAGCTCAACAGAGACAAAAGTAATGTCTCCAGTTGCTAGGAGGCTTTAGATTCTATACTTCCTCAGTTTAAATATTTATTCAGACAAAGGCTCCTTGCTCCGTTGTCTTATTTTGAGGAACACTGAATGATGATTAGAATAAAACAACTTCAGTTTGTACTTTTTATTAATTTATACAGTGACAACACCAATTTAGAGCTTGTATATTACTTGAATAGTTTCTGAAGATTACTTCATTTTAGGCTTTGTGTACTCTCGGATTGTATTTTAAAAACCAACCCAGTTTATTAGGTGATGCAATTTTGTGCCGATGACCATTAGTCTCAACAGCGCAAATAAATTATGCTTGTGATTTGGCATCCAGTAGATTTGCTCAATTCCTAGCAATCATTCTCTAGTGGTAAAGAATACTACAAATCCAGAATCAAACTGTTTTAACATTGCCTAAGTAGGCAAAAGAAAAATTAAAGTGGAAAGTAATATGAATATAAATGCTTTGGATTGGTACCCAGTGCATTCTGTCTGGCAGAATTCTAAAGAAGTAGCAGGGAACAAAAATAAAGAAAATTGTGTTGTTCTTGTTGTTGTTCCCTGGTTATTAGGGAGACTTCATGTCTGACCAATCTGCCTTGCTTTGACATGGTCATAATTGTCAGAGGAAGATCCAGGTAGGTGCACTTGAAATTAGTGAGAATAATGTGATGTCCTCCACTGACCTTTCATTTGCCTCTTGGTTTGTATCTGCTATTTTTGTCTAAGGTTGACTCTGTGCCCTGTTGTGTCTTCTTTGGCAGTATTTCTATGAAGGAAATGACATCAGTGACCTCCCAGTGAATCTTTCTGTTGTGTGGAATGGAAACTTCATAATTGATAATCCCCAAAACATCCAAGGTAAGCTGACATAGGGAAGATAGAAACGCCTTCAGTTATAACAAAATTTCTCCATAGTAAACTGTCTCCACACTTAATCTTTGAATCAGCCAGCTGGGGACCATATTTGAATTAACAAACTGCCACAAGTGAAAATTGAAAACATTTTGAGCCGAGGTGGCGCAGCAGTTAGAGTGCAGTACTGCAGGCCACTTTAGCTGACTGTGTTCAGCAGGTCAGCAGTTCAAATCTCACCGGCTCAAGGTTGACTCAGCCTTCTATCCTTCCGGGGTAGGTAAAATGAGGACCCAGATTGTTGGGGGCAATGTAAATATATATATACATTGCTTACTGGTGTACACCGCTTAGAGAGTGCTTGCACTTAAAGCGGTATATAAGTCTAATAAATAAATAAAATAAATAAATAAATTTTGTCCGTATGAGCAAACACTGTTCCTTACACATAGCAAAGTTAAAGGAGGCAGTCTGGAAAGATCTGGTTTTATAACTTATTATCTGTGTTATTTTTCTCTGTATCTAATGTGTCTCTGGAAATGCTATAAGTCAGGGGTGTCAAACTGCTGGCCTGTGGTCCGGATGCGTCATGCCAAAACTGTGCCCACCCCTTGCTGGCAATGGGAGAAAAGTTGCGATATGTCATAACATGTGACGTGATGTTGCAAGTTTGATACCCCTGCTATAAGTTATTCAGTTAACTAGATGCACATCCTATATAGCAGGAAACCAGGATCAAGTTGGTTTACTAATGCACCTAGGTCATTCATTAATATCCTAGGTGGGGGGATTGAAGGGGCTTTCATCAAAAATTTGCAGATGGCAAAGATGACTTTGGACAATAGTTTCAAGTTCAAAAGGATCTTAACAGACTTGAGCATTGGGCTCCATTCAACAAGATGCAGTTCAATGCTGATTCTTGCACTTAGGCAGGAAAAGCCATATGCATCGGTACAAGATAGGCATTAGCTGACTCAACAATAGTACCTATGAGATGGGTCTAGATGCCCTGGTGGATCACCACTTAAGTATTGTAGAGATAGGGATCAGGTAGAGGTCATGAGCAGCAAACTGCCCCTCCAAAGCCGGCATGCCTCTTCTCTCTACATGATCTCATCCGTTCACATCACCATGGTGATGTAGGGAAATACCCCAGGCTGGTACATGATATCACCTGGTTCACATGATATCAGCTAGGTTACATCAACAGGATGTGGCAGAAAACTGCTCCCTGTCTGGGGCCTCCTAGCTGGTATATTCTTAAGGATTGGCAAGGGATTTCACCAATAGAACTATTGTTGCTATGCTGATGCCATGTTACTTTATGCTATTTGGAATATCTCTATAAAAAGCAATAAACACTGTGAAAGGAGTCAGACATCTTTGCACCCTGCAATGACTGGTCACTGAATCCTTCAAAGTATGACTCTGTAGTGTGCTGCAGCTGCCAAAAAAGTCAACATGGTCCTCAATTGCTTTGACAGAGGGATAGTATCAAGATCAAGGGAAGTAATAGTATCACTCTATATCACACTGATGTGATGAGGTCACATTTGGAATACTGTGTCCAGTTTTGGTCACAACAGTATAAAAGAAGATGCTGAGGCCCTAGCAAGAGTACACAGAAGAGCAACAAATATGATAAGCGTTTAGGAGGCTGAATCTTATGACGAATGGCTAAAGGCACTAGGTATGTTTCATTTAACAAAGAAGAGTATGAGGGGAGACAGGATAGCAATCTTCCAGTACTTGAAGGGCTGCCATTGGGAAGAGGGTGTTGATTTATTCACCACAATACCTGAGGGCAAGACAAGAATCAATGGCTGGAAGCTCATCAGAGAGAGATGCAACCTGGAAATAAGGAGAAATTTCCCGACAGTGCATACTATTAGGCAGTGGAAGGGTTGCCTTCCAGAGTTGTGGGTGCTCGATCGATCATCGGAGGTTTTCAAGAAAATATTGGACAACCATTTTGTCCAAGATGGTATGATAACTCCTGCATTGGGCAGAGGGTTGGACTAGAAATTAAAACAATCTAAAATTACTCATAGCCTATTTAGCAAATTTTACCTAGCACCAATTTATCTTTCAGTGTATGCTTTCCTTTGCAGCTCACTTGTACAAGTGCTCAGCTCTGCGAGAAAGCTGTGGGCTGTGCCTGAAGGCAGATCCACGCTTTGAGTGCGGCTGGTGTGTGTCAGAAAAACGATGGTCCCTCCGTCAACACTGCCCAGTATCGGAAAGCAGCTGGATGCATGCAAGCAATGGCAATAGCCGTTGTGCAGATCCCAAAATCCTTAAGGTAAGTTTGGGATGGGTATTGGATTGGCAAAGAAGAGGGCCTTTCTCCATTCTCTTTCTCAATGGTATACAGAAATGTGACTGTGTCAGAGGATGCCTGGAAATACTTGATCCTGTAATATTTTAAGGACTGATAGGCATAGCTGTTGGTATTAATCAGCTTTGTACACTACTGATTTGATGTTCATAATCCCTTAGCTTACCTAGTTGTGGTATCAGGGGAATTTTCCTGGCAAATCATGAAACAGCATCGGCGGAGGCTAAGAATTACAGGATTTGACATGTAACACATCTGGCGGATACCATTCTGGGGAATGCCGGTGTGTATAACATTCCTATGGCACAGAGCATTGCTGTCAGTTTAGACTACTAGTTCTTCAGCTGTTTCAAATATTTTATCATGCCATTTTACTTTTTACAGGCTCTTTTTAATAAATTTGATAAAATCCCTCTTTCACCTATATGAATTTTCATGGAATACTAATGCTTATTTGATTATCCTAGTGCTGTCACCATAGAGATGCTTGCAGTTGAGAATTGGGAGGATGTGATTCAGTGGTTAGAGTTAGATAGATATCCTACATGCCATTTCTAGATTTAATTTTTCTCCTTTTCTGTTTAGCTTCTCCCTGTGACTTTTGTTCTGCTCTCACTGTAGAATGGAGATGTTTAATATCAGTCAATATTGATGGCTTGCAAGAGTTCATTGTTCAAATCTGAAGAATCGCTCTGAGGCCAATTGGTCAGATCTAATGAATTACTCCGAGGGCAATTCCCTCTAATAGGCAGGGGATGGAACTGAACCTGGCACATATTCACTGCATTACAAGGCATTTGTTTCTAAAGTACCTCTTGTATATATTAAACTCACAGTTTGAATCTTCATCTGCCTGCTAAAATTTAGTGATAGATATCAGTCGCTATAATAGATCAACATTCTATGCTTTTACGTGGTTTCTGCATAGTTTCTCCTTTGTAGTTTCTCCTGTGTTTAGTAATGAAGTTCGCATCTCCATCCAGCTCTCTTATCTTTGCATCTAAGAATAGAAAGGTGGTGTTGAAAACAAAGGAAAGGAAGAGTTCAGGAAACGGCAAATATTTCTGCTGCAAAACTAGATGTAATATTAATAATAGTAATAGTAGTAGTAGTAGTAGTAGTAGTCGTAAAGTTGGAAGGGACCTTGGAGGTCATTTAGTCCAACCCCCTGCTCAGGCAGGAAACCCTATACCATCTCGGACAAATGGCTGTCCAGTCTCTTCTTAAAAACCAGTGTGGGAGCATTCACCGCTTCTGGAGGCAGGTTGTTCCACTGGTTAATTGTTCTAACTGTGAGGAAGTTTCTCCTTAGTTCTAAGTTGCTTCTCTCCTTCGTTAGTTTCCACCCGTTGCTTCCTGTCCTGTCTTCAGGAGCCTTGGAAAATAGCTTGACTCCCTCTTCTTTGTGGCAGCCCCTGAGATATTGGAACTCTGCTATCATGTCCCCCCTCGTCCTTCTCTTCGTTAAACTAGACATACCCAATGCCAGCAGCCATTCCTTATATGATTTAGCCTCCATGTCTGAAAATGAGCTGTAGCATGTTTGATACAGTTTCCCTTCTGATTTTAACACGTTTTGTAATTGTTGAAATCCCTCTCCTTTCATGTCCAACAATCTTTTCCCTTCATTTCATCATCCAGTTTTGCTCTCCTATTTCTTTTACTGCCCTAGTGGAAGGGATCTGTTTTTCACAGCCCATCCCACCTTTGTGGTTCCCCCACCCCTGTTTTGACTGTTTCTGCTGGAAGAATGTGTATGTTTCTATTATAGGAATGAGAGAAAATTGGTCCAGATCAGTATTTCTTAAAATGTTGTCTGAGGACTCCTGGGGCCTCCAAGACCCTTCCCAGGATTCTGTAAAATCAAAATTATTTGCCAGATATTGAAGATGTTTGCAATCATTTAAAATCTTGTCACTCTTCTCAGTATTACTTTTGATATGTTATAAAAATATGTATGCTAGCTTCTAATGGGCTTAATGGTGTTATTTTTACTTGATTCAATATATAATTCTATGAATGCATCAGTTTTAATTTTTAATACATAAATATCAATAAATGTAACCCATACAAACCAAAACTCTTTTGAGGGCCTCCATAATTTTTAAAAATGGAAAGGGGTGATGGAGCACAAAGTATACAAAATTCTGGTTTGGGTGGTAGATCAGTGGTTCTCAACCTGTGGGTCGGGACCCCATTTGGAGTCGAACAACCATTTCACGGGGGTCGCCAAACAACACAGTCCGCCATTTTTTCCCCCTTTTCCTTAGCTGTGCTACTCCCTTTTATTCTATTGGCTTTTGAAAGCCAATAGAATAGACTCTCTTGAATAGAGTCTAATTCTATTGGCTTTCAAAATCCAATACGAATTGTCCAGGCTGTCTCTGCCCTGCTAAGCCCACCAAAAGTCCCATTCTGCAAATGGTGCTGCACCAGTTGAGTAGTCCTCAACTTACGACCGGTTGAGTAGTCCTCGACTTACGACCGGTTGGGAGGTTGCGGCATTAAAAAGGTTGAGAACCACTGTGGTAGATTATTTAATTTGTAAGAGGCTTATTCTGTTTAAAGGGCAATTGATTTGAATTAGTAGCTATTAATACAATTATTTTAAAATTCTGTCCTGGTCTAGTCCTTTTGGAGAATCTTCCCTGGCAGATATATAAACAAATACATGTTTGTGATCTTATTCCATTTTTTACAACTCTTTTCCCAGTTATAGTTTTTCTTTTGGTGATCAGTCTTAATTTGCTTCCCTGAAGGTCACAGCTATTCCATCCAACATTTGCTATGGCAACCAAGTTTTCCCTACACTTAACACCATTTTTAAAAAATAGAAATCTTTTGCAAATATTTTAATTTTATACCAAACTAAACCTTCTCTCACATGTTCTATTTCCAAATCTTGGTTTCCAAATTTTGATTGGAAAGGAGGGAAATTTTTATTTATTCCCTTGATTTTTGTTAAGAAAGCATCATGATCCTGAATAACACATCTTAACATTAGACATATTATAAACACATCTCAACAAAATTGTGACAGCAATTAAAGGCTTTAAATAGCGCTCCTGAACATAGGCTTCTTAGTTCATCATGTCCCCAAGCAATAATATTTTGGTTCTTAAAAGCTTCATCCTTTTAAATATGAATGTTAGAATCCTAAATCTGGGCTCACGATATCTACACATGGTCCTAGTAATGAATTATAGGCTTTTATGAACCATGTTGTGAAGTATCAGTAGTCAAAGGAAAAGAAGTTTAATAATGTAAGACCCCAATAAAGTCCCAGAGCTACCAAGTGGGTATGGCAACATATGGATGGCTTATCTGCAGTTTTTAAGTATTTGTCAGCGTTTCATTCTAATACAACTACATTACTAAATCATGAAAACTAAATTAAGAACTTGTTACTGCATTTGTAGATCCTGTGTAAGCAGAACAAATATTACATTGCTGTGTACTTTTGGGGTGGTTGGGTGTTACATTGTTACTGCTTTTTCACAGGTATTGCTGTGCTGGCTTCAGGAAAATGCAATGATAGTTTATTTGCGAGGATCATCCAGAGTGCAGTGGAATCAGGGGTATAAAATATGCTGGGGTGTTTGTTTTTTTAATCCTGGAAAATACAAGTAGTAAAGTTACTTGGTCTGTTTCTCTTGGGAGAGACAGGGATGAGTTTACACAGCAAGCTGAGATACTTTAAAAACACACAAACATAAAAACCAATTTGTTTATTAAGCTATAAATTGTGTATTTAGAGATTGTGCAACTACAGTAATTAGCCAAAACTCAAGCAAAATTAAATGTTAAAGTTTATCGTTATGATCCCATCTTGTGATTTCTGCTAGATTGAAGGGAAATAGGGATAAAGTACATCCATTTAAAATAGAAAGCTGGTGTCTGAGATTTTAGCTTTCAGAAGAGAAGTATTTTAATGCTGAAAAATAAATTCAGCTCTATCTTTCGATGCACTGCTCAGATAATGCCTTCCTCTGCCTTGAAACATTGCCATAGAAAACAATGAAGGAGATTTGTAGAAGATTTTTGATAGGAAGAAAAGATTTTTATCTGCTTCAGCTGTAACTTTTCTAATTCAAGCATTGTAGAAGAAATCCAAGAGAGCTGAATTGGGAGAATCAATGAAAAAAATATTGTTCTGGCTGCCAGAATAAAAAAGCATTTATGTGGTCTATTAATTAAATTAAATTGCTCTTGACTGATGTGACAAGATTGTTGTGGTTATCCCTTCCCTTTAGCACCAAAATTGTACTACAAAAGACTTCACAATTGTTATCTCTAATTGTAATAAAATCAAGCCAAGTGATTGAATGCGATCTTAATATTTCCATTTTACTCACAGGAAATTGAGCGATTTTGAGTTAACATTAAAATACTCTCCATGTCAGGGCATTATCAATTAATTTAGTATTGCCTTTTATCTCTTTGGCATGATAGTACAGTCTAAAATCTGACCCCAAAGTTGCCTTTGTCTTGAATTATATTTTGGATATGGAGAAGTGAACCTATCAGATGAAAATGCTGCATTTTGTTGTCAGCATTGTTTTACTTCTTTATGAAAGTCTCTTTTTGTGATCCCAACTAACATACACTTTGCTGATTGCTTGATTGCATTACTGAAGATGGGCCTATATGGTTGTGTTGTTTCAAATTTTGGCTCACTTCTCTGCTTCCAGCCTTATGCTCTGTAGTCAAATTCTCAACTGCATGGATAGATCAGCAATTCTGAAATTAGACGGTCAAATAAACAAGACACTTAGTAGATAATTCGTTACTTCATGTTTTGGGAACTGGTATTTCTTACATTCACTTCATTTGGCAGATATGAAGAGTTGTGTTCCGAAACCAATTAGATGAAGAGGGCTGCTGTTTGTCAGAGAGAGCTGGGGTGGGAGTTGGTGTATAAGGAGAGAACAAAATAGCTGGATTTTCCTGCCAGCTCTGGCTCCCAAGTGTCTTGTTTAAGGATGACCCTCCACACACAGTGTGTCAAGCATGTCCATTTTTTTCCCCAATGTTGCTTCTCCCTAAACATGTGGCCCTTCTCAGTTTTGCTGCAGTAGATGGGAAATCTAACACACTATGGGAAACCTTTTGCATTAATTTAACAACACCAAACAACAGCACAACTCACCAGGTACCCAGAGGAGCCCAGTTTAGGGAACAATAACTCAAGTTGCCTGTTGTAACAGCTGCTTTCATTGCGTTCTGATCCAGGATAGGATCAGTGGAGGATTAGATTACATTTAGGTGAATGACAGACTCCAGTTTTCAAATTGTCTTGTCTTGCATAAATTCTATATCAGGGCAGTTGACTTCTTCAGGCCTTTGTCATAGTTAACCAATGGAGTAACCTAGAAATCAGAGAACAAATATGGGCTTTGTGGTCTTGAATACATGATCCATGTTGACTTTGGGCAAGCAGCAACTGATCTATACCTTGTCCTTTGGTCATTATCCAGCAGAACCTTTTCTCCATCTGTCAATAGGGAGAGTCATTGGAGATATGGATGAATTGGAAAATGAATTCATACATTGAATCTCAATGTAGTTGTGCTTTTCCAGATGGGGAGTGTTTTGAGAAATTCAAAACTTTGGTAGATTTTGTTGATTCTGAGTTTCAGCCAAGTCAAAGTTTGGAAGGTGGTCTTACAGGGAGGTAGGACATGGCTGGTGTCTCATTTTTCCTCTCTTAACAGAATAACAGAGTTGGTAGGGACTTTGGAGGACATCTAGTCCAAACCCGATACCATTTCAAACAAATCTTTTCTTAAAATCTGCTTCATATTGTCTGTTGGCTGCCTGCCAACTTCTCTGCATTTTCATTTGCTTAATTCTCATAATGGCATGCTTGACATAAAATCATCAATTGATTAAGGCTAGCAAGTAATAGAAAAACTCAGAGTTGAGGCTGGGGAGAGGCAGTTGGATATGCTGCATTTAAAGGTATGGACATTGGCAGGATGTCTAACCACCTTTGGATTTTCCCAGCTCCTTTCCCCTTATTGAGTTAATGCATTTAATATCTGACAGTCAATAATCTAGAAGGATGGCGTTATCTATATTTGCATCCTCTCCTGGAAGTGTACAAAATCTCTTCCCTTCACTTCCCTCATTTCAGTTTGACTTCATCTGACTTCAACAACTCTGGTGTCTCATAGTATTAAAAACAGGAATCTCCAATACAGTGGTTCTCAACCTGTGGGTCGGGACCCCATTTGGGGTTGAACGACCATTTCACGGGGGTCGCCAAACAGCGCAGTCCGCCATTTTCCCCCCTTTTCCTTAGCTGTGCTACTTCCTTTTATTCTATTGGCTTTTGAAAGCCAATAGAATAGACTCTCTTGAATAGAGTCTAATTCTATTGGCTTTCAAAAGCCAATAGGAATTGTCCAGGCTGTCTCTGCCCTGCTGAGCCTGTCAAAAGTCCCATTCTGCAAACGGTGCTGCACCAGTTGAGTAGTCCTCGACTTACGACCGGTTGGGGGTTGCGGCATTAAAAAGGTTGAGAACCACTGCTCCAATAGAAAGCATTTGATCGATCGATTGGTTGGTTGGTTGGTTTTCTTTGCCACCGATCTCACTGCAAGTGACTCTGGGCAGCTTACAAGGTTAAAGCAATTGTAAAACACTCTGTGTGTGTGTGTGTGTGTGTGTGTGTGTGTGTGTGTGTGTGTGTGTGTGTGTGTGTCTATTTCTAGATCATAACCGGCACTTTGAATCACATCTGGAAACAAACTGGCATTTCCTGAAGTGGGATGGGCATCATTGCCCATCTTGTTACGTTCTTGGCAAATTGAAGCTTCCAGGTTGTCATATATATATATTTCAGTGACTCTTTAAATCACTTTCTAGCTACAGTGCTAGATGTAAGCCTAGAACCAAATAATTTGGGCTTGCCAGGCTTTGGGAAACTTCCTTGCTTATGACTCATCTCCATTAAGATCAATTGAATAAATGCTTTTTTAAAAAAAAAAACAGTGATCTGTGCATGTAGTGAAGTAACTTGCAGGCTGACTCATAAACATGGAAATTCCTTCTCTTGGGGACTTGCCAATCCCTGTACATTTTGTAGAGGAAGTATAAAGCTGTTCCGTGGGCAGTATTGGGAGGCTTTAACTATACTTTTATGTCTTCTGCCTATTTTTAAACATGAAACACTTCCTGAGCATTTAGGAGTTTCCAGCATGCCAAATTAAGTAATAACATGCATTCCAAAGCTGTTTGCTACTCCTAAGCTTCAGTACTTAGCTTAGAAAGGATGTATCGCCTATGTCAGTGTTTCCCAAACTTGACAATTTTAAGGCATGAGGACTTCAACTCCCAGAATTCCACAGCCAGTAACACTGGCTGTGGAATTCTGGGAGTTGAAGTCATCATGCCTTAAAATTGTCAAGTTTGGGAAACACTGATGTCTAGGATCAGTACAGACACTGGAGGCCAGCTAGACTGATCAGCTAATTGGTTGGTTCTTGATTTGCTAGGTCCTTTTATGCTGTTTCAGCCCTGGAGTCCCTTTCCTTGGTTTGGGGTTGCGGTGACCCAGAAGAGATTTCCCAGCTGGGTGCCCATTAATCCTTTTTATCACTTGCAGGTGTATGCCAGGCACTGGGGGCCAGCAAAATGTGGTGTAAAATTGCCCATAATTACCTTGTTAGTGGCAATGGTGGGCCTGTAATGCATTGCTCATCTGTCATCATGCTGGCATATGACAAGCCACACCTGTCCGTTTTATTGGGAATCATCCTAACAAATGAGCCATATCGTGCTCTGCTGGGGCTTCCTTCCCCAGCTGGTGCTGGCAGAAACTATTGTATGCTGGGATATTTCCGAATTACTACAGAAAGAGAAGACCCATTTTACATGAGTTAATTGGTGTCTACTTTGTGAGGAAGGCTCTGAAATGATGACTTTTCTTCTAATAATTTGTAGCATGAGAAAGAAATAGTAGGCTTTCTGAGAATATCTAGGGTTGAACAAGCAGAATGCATCCTGAGGTCCAATGCTAATAGTATAACAAAGCCATTTCCTGGTAGAATATGTTTATTGTTTCCATTTTCATATTCTGATAGGTTCAGAGGGCTATATTGTAGTAAGGAAATGGACAATGTAATAGTGGAATTCAGGAGGAAGAGAGAATTAATATTGCTGCTTAGACGATAGAAACTAGTTTTGAACTACAGAAAAGCTGTCTGAATTTTAAATGATTATCACTTCAATTTCACTTTTTCTACTGATAAGTTTATTATAAGTGGCAACCTGCCTCAAACTTTAGAAATGTATGGTATCATACTTACTAGTATGTGGATTGTGTAACATAGTGCTATGGCAGATGTTTCTGTTCATTGCAGTGGATCTGATGGATTTTCATAACAATCTGCTTTTTTTCTTCTTAGTTGTTTCCTGAAACAGGCCCCCGGCAAGGTGGGACTCGGTTAACCATCATTGGTGAGAATTTGGGCCTGAAGTTTGAAGATGTGCGCATGGGTGTTCGGGTTGGCAAAGTGTTATGCATGCCCATTGAAAGTGAATATATCAGTGCTGAGCAGTGAGTATCCTTCAAATTACAGATGACTGCCTAGAATATTAAAAAATGGATTCATTTGTGAGGTCCTATATAACTGTAAGAAGCAGGAGAGTCAAGATTTGTAAGCTGCCAATAAGGAAAGATGGCTGTGATTTTTCTTTTAGAGCATTAGTCACCATCAGCACTTCTTGATTTAACTCATTTTAAAATGACTGTTTCTTATTTTGGAAAGAGCCAATGTGGCAAAGTTGATAAGACAGCTGAACTCGGATAAAGATTTGAATTCCTGCTTATCCATGAAGGTCACCGGTTCATGCTAGAAGCAATTATCTTTCACCCTAATCTTCCTCGTAGGGATTCCTGTGATTATTAAATGAGATGGCATGTGAATAAGTATTTCTATGAGCAATTTAGAGGGAAAAAATGAATGGCAGGATAGCTTAAAAATAATAATGCCAGATCTCCTCTGAGTTTGGTTCCACAAGACAGTGGCCAAATAATAAGGGGAATGCCAAATCTTTTGTGATATGCTGTCAGAAAGATTTTTCTGGTTTCACAAATCATTTCTGGAAAATATTTGATGGTAAAATAAAATGATTCTGCAAGTCATTAAGAGAGTTTTGATTTTGAAAATAAAATGTATCTTTGTAGGGGGGGCGAAGAATGATTTTTCACTACATAGTTTGTATTAATTTAAAAGTCCACTTTTAAGTACATGTTTACAGAGCCACATTTTCTAAAGCTGGTCAATTCTGGCTAGCCACAGATATTCTGTGTACTATGCTCTTCAAATTTACCTAGCTTAAAATTATATAGAAAAATACAGAGCCAGTTTAAACATTAATAGGATGTAATAAGAAAAATCAATGTAGGATCATTTAGTGGGTGTCTTTCTTTTCACTTGTAGATAGTAAATCAAAATACAAAGCCAGAAATGCACAGGAATATTTTCAACTGTTTAACTTACGTATGTGTATTATATTACATTACATTAATACATACTGTGAGAGGATGGGGGAAGAATGAAAATAAGTGGTTTTTTTTTCTTTTTAGTTGTGTTAAATTTTAATTGATTCCCTACTGAGTTAAATTATGCTCTCCTTGTAATATTTTATGTATTCTGCAATTTTAATCTGCCTATTGTTCAAACACCAATTTGATGTATTCTAAGACATAATTTGCTGAAATTTTTAAATGACATTTAATTAAAACAACAACAGCCCATCAAAATATAATAACAAGATTGAAAGAAAGAATCAGGAACATCAGAAATATTTGGATTAGGGATATGCAGGGCTGGTACACTTCATATATATAACAAGAGCACTAACATTTCATCTGTTTGTAAGACATTCGATTGGTTTGCCCTCTATAGGATCGTCTGTGAGATTGGAGAAGCCAGCCCCAGCAAAATTCAAGATGCTCCTGTAGAAGTGTGTGTCAGAGATTGTTCCCCCAGCTATAAGGCTATAGCTCCAAAAAGCTTCACTTTTGTGGTAAGGTTAAATATTAGACATTTGCCTTTGCCATTTCATCTCCCTCTAAATCCCACTTTTGCCGTACGGATTTACCTTAATTTAGTAGTCCCCAACCTTTGCAGCTTGGCGGCCCAGCTTGGGAAGAGAGAGGAACTGGGTTGCGCAAGCGGTAGGCCGGCACGTGCACACATGCAGCCCGACTTGCACGAGTGGGGGATTTGTGCGAGCAGCGGGACAACATGCATGCATGCAGCTCAACTTGTGCAAGTGGCAGGCCAGAATGTGCGAGTGCCTCTCAGCCCACCCTTGCACAGGTTGAGCTGCATGCATGCTGCCCAGCTACTCGCATGGCCCAGTTCCAAATAGACCACGGCCTGGTAGTGGGGCTGCGGCCCGAGGGTTGGGGACCCCTGCCTTATTTAGTTGTTTTTCTATCATAAGCCCTTATACTATTTTCATGTTTATTATTTATAGGTAGACAGCATATTAATTTAATTGAAATTATATCCTAACCTTTGTAAAATATGCACAAATGGGATGCCAAGAAATAAATTACCACTCAATCTGTTCAGCCTTAGAAGATTCTTAGAAGAAGAAGAAAATGAAAAACACATTGAAGTAAAGGATGGAAAACCAGATACAAAGTAGGAAATATAAGAAACATACCCAAGACCCATAAAGGACTCAAATACCTATACAGAATGCTCAAAGTTTAGGGAACAAGCAGGATGAAGTTGAAGTACTAGTACATGAAGGTAAATATGATATAGTTGCCATTACTGAAACATGGTAAGATGAAACTCATGACTGGAATGTACTGATGGAAGGATACAAACTATTCAAAAGAAACAGACCTAACAAAAGAGGAGGTTGAGATCACTACATCTCTACAGAAATCCACAAAACCAAAGATGAAAACCTCCTAGAATCCATATGGGTCAATATAAAATTTTTTTCTTTTATAACGACATTGCTATAGGTGTATACTACAGTCCACCCAACCAAGCAGAAAATTAAGATGAACATTTGGCTAAACAGTTAACAAATGTATGTAGGAAATATACCACAGTAGTAATGGGAGACTTTAACTACTACCCTGATATCAACTGGGAGACAAACTCTGCAGCAAGTGGGAGATCAAACAGATTCCTAACCAACCTAGCTGACAACTTTGTCAACCAAAAGGTAGAGGAGGGAACTAGACGAAAAGCTATACTGAACCCAATTCTTACTAATAGAGAAGAAGTGATAGAGGGAATTGAAGTTGCCGGACATGTGGGCCACATATTGAAAGTCAATATAATGCAAACACAAGCAATAGAACATAATCCAGCCATTGTCTTAAACTTCAAAAGAGCTGATTTTAACAAACTCAGAAAGAGCCTAAGAAAAATTCCATGGATGAAAATCTTAAAGTGGAAAACAACAAAAGAAGTGTGGGAAACTCTGAAAAATATATCATAAAAATCCAGTCCACCAAAATACTACTGAAAAAGAAAAACAAGAAATCCTAGAAGAAACCAGCATGGCTGCACAAAGATCTCTCTGATAAACTGAAAGACAAAGAGGACAAGTACAAAAAATGGAAAGACGGACACATAACTAAGGCAGAGTATCAGCAGACAGCCTGAATCTGCAAAGATGAAATCAGGAAAGCAAAAGTTCAGAATGAACAAAGACTTGGAACAAAAATCAAAGATAATTTAAAAAAAGTTTCTTTCAGCATATAAATAACAGGAAAAAAGGCAAGGAAGCAGTAGGTCCACTTAAGAGAGAAGATGGCAAGGAAGTAACAGTAGCAGAGAGAAAGCAGAACTGCTAACTCATTCTTTGCATCAGTCTTCACGCAAAGAGAAACTATAGCCCAACATACCAAAAGCCTAACTGTAAAAGACAGACTAGAAATAAAAATAAGCAAGAAAACATTTAAAGAACACCTATCTGATCTTGACAAATATAAATCACCAGGACCTGATGGATTACATCCCAGAATTCTGAAGGAACTATACTATACTTGTACTATATCTTTCAAAAATTCTGGAATACCAGGGAATTACCTAAGGATTGAAAAGAGCTGATGTGGTTCCCATCTTCAAAAAAGAAAAAAAGAAAAACAGACCCAGGAAACTACAGACCAATCAGCCTAACATCAATACCTGGGAAGATACTGGAAAAGATAATCAAAAAATAGATGTGCAAACATCTAGAAACAAAGTTATAACTAAAAGCCAACATGGGTTTGTTAAAAATAGATCATGCCAAACCAATCTTATTTCATTCTCTGAGAGAAAATGACTACGTTAGTACTGTAGACCAGTGTAATGCTGTGGACATAGTATACTTAGACTTCAGTAAGGCATTCGACAAAGTAGACCACAACCTACTTCTTACTAAACTAGAAAAATGGATAGATAACATCACTACCAGATGAATTTTGATTATTAGAAAAAAGATGTTGAGACTTTGGAAAAAGTGCAAAGAAAGCAACTAAGATGATTAAAGACCTGGAGACAAAAATATATGAAGAATGGTTGCAGGATTTGGGTTTGGCTAGTCTAGAGAAAAGAAGGACTAAGCAGTATTCCACTATTTGAGAGGTTGCCACAAAAAGGAGGGGGTCAAACTTATTTTCCAAAGAACCAGGGGGCAGGACAAGAAACAATGAAAATTAATCAAGGAGAGAAGCAACCTGGAATTAAGGAGAAACTTCCTAACAGTGAGAACAATTAACCACCAGAACAGTTTTCCATCAGAAGTTGTGGGTGCTTCATCACTGGAGATTTTTAAGAAGATACTGGACAATCATTAGTCTGAAATAGTATAGGATCTTCTGCTTGAGTAGGGGGTTGGACTAGAACAGGGCTTTTCAACCAGTGGCACGGGTACCACCTGTGGTACATTGGCACCTGGCAGGTGGTACACGACCATCCTAGAAAAGTGGTAGCGGGGGAGGGAAATGAGCTGAACTGGTGGCAGCACCACACAAACCTGAGCAAGAGATGGCTGGAGCTGCAGGGCTGTCAGGGCTCAGCAGAAGCACCAGGATCAGTGCCAGGCTCCAGTTGGACCTCGGTGCTGATCCTGGTGCTTCTGCTGAGCCCTGAAGAAGCACCAATCAGCTGGAAAGCAGAACTGATCCTGGTGCTTCTGCTGAGCCCAGAAGAAGTGCCGATCAGCTGGAATGTTGCAGCATCTCCAGGGTCTTGTGATTTACATTCAGCTTGGCAACTGATTCATATTTATGATGGTCACAGTGTCCTAGGGTCATGTGAAGTGACCAAAACCTGCTGCAACCACCCAGTAGATGGGGGAATAAAAACTAAACACTCCCGCACCCCACCTACGCTGCCAATCCTCAAAAGAAATACTCACAATAATGAAAACCTCAGACAGGAGGAAGAGCACCGCCGGGCGGGCAGGCAGGTGTCTTGCTCGGCTGTGGCTTGGGGGGCACTTTTTCAGTACCACTCTAACTTCGAACAGTCACTAAGCGAACTGTTGTAAGTCGAGGACTACCTGTACTTTATCACTTTTCTCCTTTTTGGGGGGGGTCATCAAGTTTTTGACACCTTGCGACTGGTGGTACTCGGATGTTGCCATATCCTAAAAGTGGTACAATGGGTGAAAAGGTTGAAAAGCCCTGGACTAGAAGACCTTGAAGGTCCCTTCCAGCTCTATTCTGATTCTGATATTCTGATTCAAGACATTTTTGCTCGAACTGGGATTCTTGTGTGATTTTTAACTAAGAAGGCTTCCAATCTCATAAATATGACTGGAGCAGTCATTAACAAATTTAGATTGGACAAGATCAAGATTTAAACAGTGGTATCTCAAGGATGGGCTGTTTCTTTTCACTGATCTAAAGCTTGGCATCTGCTGATAGCAATGTTTCTAAAATTACTCAGAACTGTGAAGTAACTAATGAGACTTTGGTTGGTTAGAATCGTTTGTCAGTTACTAAAATTTTCCTGTACAGCATTTATTGTTAAACAGGTGTTCTCCAGCTAGTAGAGGAGTACAAATAAAAATTAGTTCTCAGAAGCTTTTCTCCCTGAATATATGGCAGTTACAGCTAAAACATTTAAAAAGCATCAATTTGCCTATCTGTCAGGCACTGTAATATATGTGCATATGCAAATGTATAAAATTATGATATATTTACCCAATATTTTAATGTCTTGCTTGTTTAAAATTGCTGAGCTTTAGCCAGTTTAATCTGTTTTTAATTTTTAATTATAATCTTATTATTCCTTTAGTCTCCTGCTTTATTTATTTATTTATTTTTTATAATTATGTATTTTATCTTATTATGAAGTCAAAGAAACTAGTTGATTGAGAAAGTGTACATGTACAAACAATAAGAAAAGTATAGAAAAATAATTGTATGTGACTTACCTCTGAATTATCACTGATACCCTCCTAACTGATTTTATGTTCTGAGTTTAACTATGCATCATAGCAATGTGATACCCCTAGTGCCTGAGTTGTGAAGAATTTCCCATTTTTACTTAGTTGCTTATAAGTCTTTCCATAGTTCCTCTTGTTATGCTTGTGCATTAAGGCTGTCTTCTGAATGCTGTGAATGGACTGTTTCCCTTTGACAGGTTCCTACCTTCTCACAAGTCATCCCAGATCGTGGGCCTCTTTCTGGGGGTACCTGGATTAGCATCAGAGGAAGACATCTCAATGCAGGAAGTAACATCACAGTAACCATTGGAGGACAACCATGTGCTTTTGCAGGGTGAGCTTTCTTGGTCTGGGATATAAATGGTCATCAGGCACCACGTAGAGAGAAGAATGGCTTGAATGCATTGAACTAATCAATTACATATATGCACTGGGTATCAACATTTGTACAATGTGTAATAAGATAATGTTCCTAAGGAGCCAAGCAAAAAATTTCTGTGTAGCTTGTGGAATTTCTTTTCATGGTTCATTAAAAAAAAGAAGAAAGGTCAAAGAATGATTTCCTTTTCCTTATAAAAAGCACAAATCCCTGAGCCATGAAGTGGATAATTTTTAGATTAGGGATGATAATGGAGCTGCTCTTTAAACATTTTTGTACAGTAATTACTGGTTATCAGCCTTAATCGCTTGCAGCCGCTGCATGATGGAGAATGCTCCAGAGTTGTGCCAGCTTGAAGGACTGTGTGTTTTATTTTCTTTTTACATTAACTGATAATTTTAGCAGAACTTCCCAAGGAGATTAGAGGGAGTGGGTGGGGAAGGACCAGATACAGAGATTAATATTTTACTTGTAGAAAACCTATTGTAAACGGTTTAAAAGACAGCCAGGCCTGGAATTTTCTCAAGGAAATCCTGATGTCCATTCCACACTATTTCCATGTGTAAATTTAAATTTATTGCTGTAAGGAAATTGAACTAATGAAACTGAGAGTTCATGTGATACTATTGAATTCATATTACAATTTACCAGTAGTTCAGCTTTTTAGTTACAATCTCTATCCTTCGTATAAGTGAGATTCTATAACAAACAAGGAACCAACTGGGCATTTCTATCTATGCTTCTTGAGAAAAAGATACTCTTGATGCCTATGTAGGAGTCTTCCACAACTTTACAGTAGCACTGTAGTTTCAGCCTTTTTGCAATTTTTCTGTTTCCCCTCGGTTTATTTTCCTTTGTACTTACTGTATTTTTTAGCATGCTCCGCTCTGCAAGGACATCTTCCAGTTTAACATTTCATTGGATTTCCCAATTTTCTTATAAGTTTAAAATATCTTTCCATAGGCGTATTAGATGCAATGTTAAATTATCTTTCTTGCACACCCTTCTTTGAAGAGGGAGAAGTAATAAATGTTTGCATCCATTGAGAATTTTTGTCAAAGATAAGTCTCCGGATCATTTCTCTTGCTTAGGTCCCATGTCCGCCAGCTGTGGAATCAGTGCTGCTGTTTCCTTGCCTAGTGAACTTCTGGACCGACCAATTTTTCTTGCTTGCCAGTTCTGCTATTAGAGGAAGAATCCCCAATCTTACAACGGTCCAGGGTTGCTGTTAAATTAGGTGGCTTTAGAAATCTAAATGATAAATAGTCCACCATCTACAGCTAATATGGTTTCACAGTGTGGATTTCAGAAAGGATAATTTGGAAGAGGTCAGAGGAATATATTCTTTCTATGCTGCTCCCTTCCAGTTTACCCTTTTCGATGCCAAAAGATGATGGATCAGAATCAATCCAGTTCTTACTGCTATCAGATTGAAAGGAATATCGGAGGAAGAGGACTTTTCTTGCTATTCTGTTATTGCTCTTTCTGGTCATGGATCAACATAACCTCATCCTTAAACACCTATTAATTACATTCTCAAAGTACTGTGATATTAGTTACATTAAATCCAAAGTATTGGTTTTTGAGAAGAGTAATAAACCACAGTCATGAGATTTAGATGATGATAAGTTGGAGCAGGTTTCAGAATTGGGAGCATTCTCATTCATAGTTTTTCCTTAGGTATTTTGCTAATAAGGCATCTGCCACTAATTCAGTGATTCTTAGACCTTTCCCTGTTTTGTCCTTAAAAACCCAAATGACTGAAAAAAGGGACTCAATTTTGATGTGGTCTCAATCTGGGTTAAAGGAATTAAAGATGATTATCATTCATTAAAAGCCCAATTCCATTGTGTTTTGTTTCATGTTCTAAGTTGTGTTCCCAATATATTTTATGTTATTGGAAACAGGTTTTTGCCCTTTTCCAATTTCAGCCTGGTTAGTTACTGTTGAATTATAGTTGAGAAAATGTATTTTTAGAATATCTGTTGGTCTTTTGGTGCTAATCCCCTTTAGAGAATTACACCGGTACTTAGATAACTTTGTTAGCAGACAAAACATAACAAATAAATATTGATTTGACAAGGGTATCAGATTTAGATTGTTCCTCAGCAAATACTCAAATTGAACTGAGGCTTTTTAGATCCTGCCCATCAGGATTTGCAAGCAGCAGCTAAAGTATCTTACTCCCCAGTATATTTTGAAATAAGATAGCAGAAAATCTTTTACCTTATATAAAGGCATACAGCTCTTCATTTATTTTTCTCTTTAAAAACATGGAAGCTCATATTTTCCAGGAAATAAAGTAAATAAATAAATATAAATATAATTAAATATTTATTTATATTGTTTATATAAGTCTTCCCATACTCTTCATTTTCAAATACCTTTTTAAACTTTTTTAAAAAAGAATATTGAACATTTATCCCTTTAATTAGGTCGAAAACATTGTATAATAAGAACTCTTAGTACAAAATTGCTGGTGAAAATTAAGAAAACATGTTGTTTTCCCATTGAGATAGGCCAATACAAACTGAATGAATGTTTGAATCTTGAAAGTGTTAAGGGACTAATATGCTGTCTTTAAAATGTTGGTTATTTCTGTTCGTTTTAATTGGTGTTACACCCTGAATTGCATGTTAAGTAGTCAGCCATATAAATCTAAGTGATAAATAAATAAGAGAAAGGAGATCTTCAGGCTACTACAGCCCCATTTTTAGATACTCAATGATGTATTTTCTATTTGCATTTTCTTTTGAGGCTGCTTGTGCAAGATGATAATTCCACTTAGCACCCATATGTAGACTCACAATTATTAATGGCATTAAAGACCTGTTCACTATTGATTTAGTCATGTTGCTATTTGTATTCTTACTTATATATTTCAATGAACCAGTTTTAGCTATTGACTCATTTTTGCAAAAAGCTGACTGACAGTAAATATTGGGAGCTGATAGTGAGCAGGTTCTGGTTTCATTACCTGACAGTGAAGATGAAAAGTAGACGATGGATTGCCTTAAGTGAAACAAATTGCCTGCTTGGTAGAAATGGAATATTCAGTTTGTTTGGTATCATGGTATACCATGGAAAAGATGCCTGCTGTCTTAAACTTAGCAAATGACGTTGTTTTCATTTTTTTCCCTTTTCCCCTGTGTCCCACAGGAGAAATGCTGGTGAAATCCAATGTAGGACCCCATCTGGTCAGATTCCAGGTAGTTCAGCCATCCTCATTCATATAAACCGGGCTGTGCTTAGCAGTTCTGATGTTACATATTATTATACTGAGGATCCTACAATTCAAAAGATAGATCCTGAATGGAGCATCAGAAGGTAAAATTGAAGATAATAATTTCAGAATAAAATTATCCATTTTTGGTTGATGTAGTTTTTTATGCAGTTTATGTTTCACAGAGAAAACTACTGAAAAATATTATAACTTTTTTCATAAGCTATTTCAATCAATACTGTAAGGTGAAGGCATGGTAGCTATAATATGTCAGTTGGACATAAAATGCTGAATATTTGTTGTCACCCTTCATTCTGCACATCTAATTCTTGGTAGAAGTTAATACCAAGAGTCAAAAGAAATTTCTACAAATTAGGTTTTCTATCTGTTTTGTATTTATTTAATAAGTTATTTAGGAATATTTCAGGGAGATATTTATGAATTATTGTTATAGTATATATCTCTTTCTCACAATAAAGATGTACTTTGTGAAGCATTTGGGACAATAGACCTTTGTTTTTGACATAGGTTTTCTCACAAAATATCAATATGAAAGTGAAATTGTAAGATTTGAAGTAAAAAATATATTATTTGTTGTGTTTATACTAGTAATTAATGGACCCATATCAAAAGAATTCAGACAATGCCTGGGAAATATATCCTTCTGTATCTAGCTTTTGGGTTCCATGCAGAATTCCAAAATGAACACTGGAAGGAATAATGTATTTCCTGTCTGGAAATTGGCATCAGTTAATGCTGTTAAGACCTGATATTATCTTACTTGGGAGTAAGCCCTATCCTACTCATTTGTTGGATTGTACTGTAATATGAAAAAAGGAAGAACTATTCTTCTTCTTAAGAGTCAAAGCTTGATATTGGGCATCCTTGGTATGTTGTGGAGATTAATGGAACTCAAGAGTATTTATTTTTACCCATCACTGCCTAAAATAACTCACAAAGTCATTGTTTTTCCCAGCATGAAGTTAAAAGAACATGGAGCTGCAAAATGTTGGGATAAAAGGAATGCTTTGTTTCATTGGGTTAGGCTGCCTGCACTCTTTTCATTAGGAGCTTCAATTGACCTCTTCTGTTTGCTTCCTAGTGGTGGGACATTGTTGACTGTGACAGGGACCAACCTGGCCACTATCAAAGCACCCAGAATCCGAGCCAAATATGGCAGTGCTGAGAAGGAGAATGTAAGTAAACCTTCACCCAGCTTTAACCCAATGTAGTATTCTCTGGTTGTTTTAGGGATGCACATTCTGATCTGGAATTCAGAGAGTTTGGATCCAGGATGCCTGAGCTGCCATGATCAAAAGTCTGCCTTTGACAAGTAGACAATATGTTTCTAAAGACTTCAGAATTTCATGAAAAATGTAATTACCTTGGTTGACAAGCTCAGTTGTTTGTTGCATTGTTGTCTCAGGTAGAGCATAATTCAGAAATCTTTAGAAAAACTTTGGATATCTTATACCACAGTCAATATTTAAATGGTGCAGGGAGAAAGAATTTGTTATGCCCCTCCAAATAAAGATTCATATTCATAGCTTGAGAAATGAGAACAGTCTACTTAGGATGTCTTGGATGTGTTCTCTGATGCAGAAAGAATTAGGTAAAATCTACATAACTAGTATAGCAGAAAAAATATTGTGTCATCTTGTACTTTTTAAAACAATATCCTTCATTGAGAACAACACTTGCAGTGCTATTTTTGAGTTAAGTTTATTGACCACAGGAGAGAACAAAGAGCCAATTTGGTTTAGTGAGTAAGGCATCAGACTAGAAACCAGTAGGCCATGAACTCTTTGTTGTTGTTAATTTCAGAGTTGTGTCTGACCCATCGTGACCCCATGGACAACGTTCCTCTAGGTCTTCCTGTCCTCTACCATTTTCTGGAGTCCATTTAAGTACACACCTACTGCTTCAGTGACTCCATCCAGCCATCTCATTCTCTGTTGTCTCCTTCTTCTATTGCCCTCAATCTTTCCCAGCATTAGGCCCTTCTCCAGTGAGTCCTTCCTTCTCATTAGGTGGCCAAAGGATTTGAGTTTCAACTTCAGGATCTGGCCTTCTAAAGAGCAGTCGGGGTTGATCTCTTCTAGGACTGACCGGTTTGAACGCCTTGCAGTCCAAGGGACTCGCAGGAGTCTTCTCCAGCACCATAGTTCAAAGGCCTCAATTCTTTGGCGCTCAGCCTTTCTTATGGTCCAACTTTCACAGCCATACATTGCAACTGGGAAAACCATGGCCTGGACTATACGCACTTTTGTTGGCAGGGTGATGTCTCTGCTTTTTAGTATGCTGTCTAGATTTTAGTCTGCCCTTAAGCATGAAGCCAGCTGGGTGATCTTGGACCAGTCCCTCCCTCTCAGCTCCAACAAACAGACAATGGCAAACACTCCAAAAAACCTTGCAAAAAGCCTGAAACAGATTTGTCCAAGTAGTCACCAAAAACTGACTTGAAGGCAAATAACACTAATAACAGCAACAACCACAACCATGGCAGTCTTCAAGTTTGGGCAATGGTAATTTAGTTCATTCATCAATCTCTACTTGAAGATTGATATCTAAGCAATTTTTTGCATTTTTTATCTCACGTGACACAGTACATCCGGATTTTCCTGAAATTAAAGTTTTACTTTCTGTTGAAATAATCTGAGTTCATTTATGCTGGCTCTTTTCTGTTTTGTACATTTGCTGGAGAAGTATGCCATTGCATCTAATTAAATTATTATTCAATTTAATCTTTCCCTTTCCCCTCCAAATCAGCTGAACAAGTTGGAAATGTAATTGTTTAATTTATATCTTCTTGGAATGACAATAGGAACAAAGTCTAAAAGGGTATGAAGAAAAAGAATATAAAATACAGTAGTTTAACCAGCATATCTGATTCATAATAAGATGAACATTTGAAAAAATAGGAATCTTACCAGAAGCATTTTCTCCTTTTTTTGAACATAAAGAATAAATGCAGTACTTTGTTATACTTCGACTCAGTTAAGCCAGCAAAAGCTCATAACAGATTTTTAAATGTTGGACAGTTTCAAAAGAGATTTGATATACTTAAACTGATGTACTAGGATATGTCATCAGAATCTCTTGCCTTAGATAATAGCACCATGAAATTTAATATTATTTAGGTCAGTGATTCTCAACCTCAGCAACTTTAAGATTTGTGGATCAACTCCCAAAATTCTCCATCCATTCCCTATTAATTTTAATAATGTTTAATTAATTAAACAATTCACACTAATTTTAATTAATAATTAATTTAAAATTAACAAGTTAACAATAAAAAGAATACGCACTTCTGAGATAGATAATTATTTTATTCAGGGAGGAAAATATACATTTCTTCCTAGGAATTAGTTATCTTTGACAGTGACCTTGCCATATATGGGAGTTGTGCCAAGCTTAAATCTGTGATTCCCCACAGTACCATGGGGCCTGCATGCTGTTTAAGAATCTGAATAAATTAATTATTGGCACAGCTTCTGGTCCAAAAGAAAGGTTACCATTTTGGAGTTAGAATGCAAGACACTCCACACTTCATTCAATTTCCTGGTTCTGAAAATTTCCCCTGCCTGTTGCTGTCAAGATACCCCTCTTCCCCACCATTCCAATGGATCGCTTTACTGTCCCCTCCATATAGTGACTGGTTCCTGTTTTTAATATATCCTTGCTATAAAAAGGGAAGGAAGTTGCTGTCTTCCATGTTTTCCTATTTCCTGACTAGTAGAAGCACAAAACAGCTACTCAAAGAGGACAGAATGATAGCAGTAGGGGGACCTGCTTAGTAGTGTGAAAAAGTTAAGAAGGGTGTGGCACATAGCTTGGGAAAATTGGTTTTTCTTGGCAATAAGATAAAATTAATGAAAGAGAAAAGTGGTTAAGCCTGCTAACTTTTGCCTTTCAGAATTGTACAGTCTACAATGATACCACCATGGTGTGTTATGCTCCTTCCATTGATAATCCAGTCAAGAGCCCTTCAGAACTTGGGGATCGACCAGATGAGATTGGCTTTATTATGGACAATGTCCAAGCCTTGTTGATCATCAACAGAACTAACTTTATCTATTACCCAGATCCTGTCTTTGAATCTTTGCCATCTGGTATGTTGGAGCTCAAGCCAAGTTCTCCTCTTATTCTCAAGGTAATAATTTGTTCAACTTCATTTCTGCAGGTTTTAGCTCCTCGTCTTATTAGATAAGTACTAGTTACACTGTTAGGTTGATATAGTGTTGTTCAGAATTCCCAGACCAATTCAGGGAAGGCTTTGTCCATTAAGCTAGACAAAGATCCTGGTACTCATAATGTACAAGTGTAGGATTAAAATTTAAGTGCTAAGAAGAGAGAAAAAAATCTTGATTGATTCTTCCCATTCCAGTGTCAAAGACAGGAGAGGGGAACCACTATAAGTACATAATCACTCTGATCAATTACTGGTCTTTTTCCTCGTCCAAGAATAAGCTATTGAACCTATCCCTTCAGTGGTTTGATACCTTTTCTTACAATTCCTCATGCTTCCTTTTCAAAGCTGAACAAAATGATATGAATTAAAAAGATAAGGTTGACTATAGTAGTAGCCTTGAAACAGAGAGATTGAGTTCTAGTCCATATCCATAAAAGCTGTCTGAGTAACTTTGGGCCAGTGATTGTCTCATTCCAACTCACCTCAGAGGTTTATTGTTGTGGGGAAAATAGGAGGAGGAAGGAGTATTCTGTATGTTTGCCAGATTGAGTTACTTATAAAGTAATAAAGGTGGGGTAAACATCAAATAAGTATGTAAGTTAGTAAGCAGGTAAATAAACCTGGCATGCTATTGTGCCGTGGGTCACAAAGAGTTGAACATGATTAAGTGACAACAACAACAGCAACAACAAACAACCTACTTTTATTCTTTTTAAAGGGCCGTAACCTACTGCCACCTGCACCTGGTAATTCCCGGTTAAACTACACTGTACTAATTGGTGACACTCCATGTGCTCTTACTGTTTCTGAAACTCAACTGCTCTGTGAGTCGCCAAACCTCACAGGACAACATAAAGTAACGGTAAGGCAAGTCAGGCCTGCCCCTGTTTTGTGCTTTTGTATTACCTGGACAGGCTTATAATAAGCCCCAAGTGCTTATTTTATTTTTCTTGCTAAAAGAATTATGAAATTATAAAGATTGCAGAATATAGGCATTGTCCTTTGAATTTTGTCACTCTTCCCTCCTTCCCTTTCCAAATATAAATTCTGCTATTTGAGGAACTATGCTGTTTATCTATTTGTAGCATATTGCTTGTTTAGTTTTTAATATTGATTGTGTGCTGTCAGTTTGGCGTTGAATTTTGGCAGCCATAGAAACAGACCTTCTCCAAGATAATTTGTCCCCAGCCTGGTCCATCAGATCTTCCCATGGTGTACCTTTCACTATTGGAAATGAATCTGTTTACCTTGCTACTATCATCCTCTTCTTTATCATTCCACCTTTTCCAGCATTATGGATGTCTCAAGAGAACTGGGTCTTTGGCACAATATGTTCAAAATATGATAATTTCAGTCTTGTCATTTATTCCTCTAATGAAGGCTCTGTGTTGATTTGTTCTATGACCATTTGCTTCTTTTCTTGGATATTCATGGTATTTTCAGGAGTAAAAACCAAAGTTTAAAAGAATCAATACACTTTCTGTCCTTTTACTGCACAATCCAATTTTTACTTCCATAGATCATCATTGGGAAGGTCATTATTACATAATTCTGAAGTAATTAGGTTCAGATATGTAATAGCATCCAGTATTTTTTCCAAGGATTTCATTGCTTCTGAACCAAGTTCTTGTTTGCAGCATATATATTCCACTTAGAAATTCCTAACTGCACTTGAGGAAGGAATGCTGGAGTAATTACACAATTCAATTACACAAATCAACTACTAAGTGGCTTAGTAGTTCCCAAATTATGATGTAGATCGTAATATAGTCACCCTTCAGATTCTCATTTGGTGATTTTGCACAATCCTTGTTTCAAAATTATCACTCAAAAATTTACATATTATACAAAATGGCATGTGTTAGAAAAGTTGCTTACAAAGATAAACAGAGTTATGCATAAGTTTAAAACAATCATAATAATGTGGCTGCTTGACAAAATTGACTTATATCTGTGTTTATGCAAAACTTAAATGGATCATAAACTTGATTTAATTTTTTTAATATTGTTGGCTTCAGAGGGAAACAGAAAAATGTTATTTATCTCTGATTTTTTTTTACCTGTTCTTTCTTTGTACACAACAACATCTATATGAATTGTATAAGATTAGTTTTTAGTACAACAATTCTGACTTACCCTGGAGTTCATTATAGCCTTGAATTTTTGAAAAGGACCCAGAACATTTCTTCCTCCAGGTCTCTCATCCATGTATTATTATAATGTTATTTGAATGAGATATCAGACTTGATGTTTACTCCTTTCAGGCATCAGCAATTGCCTGCATATATCTATATCTCATCTAATCTCCTTTCTGGCAGCGTGAGACTTAACCTACAGTATCTCACCATTGTTTTTTCCTGCTCTTACATTTGCTTCCCTCTAAAGATAGCAGCCAGCGTTAGCTAGAAGATGGGCATAGTAAGGGTACAACAGACTGTAGTAATAGTGTTCTGAATACAAAGAATCTCTGGGCTATTTATTAGAATAAAAATCAGTGTGGCAAGTATATTTATAAAGGAAAATATTTGTAGCTCAAGGTTGACATGAGGAGTCCTTGGTGCTCTCTGTGCTTACTTGTTTTCTTGCACAGGTTTCATTACCCAAACATCTTCGGTGCTGATGATGATATTACCTAGTTTGGGTAATGAAACATCTGCAAGAAACAAGCAAGCTCAGAGAGCACCAAGGACTCTGCAAGTATATTTTTCTTCTTAGTGATAAAATATGTACAAATTAAAAGAAGGTGCCTTATCCTGCAGTGACAATAGATCTGACCACCAGTTGGAAAAGTATATGTTGATAATGTCCTTATGACAATAGTTCTTTTCAATATTTTGAAACTGGGCAATCTCCTCAATTGCCTGACTTGAAAATATGCTCAATTTCCTTGTCTACTAAATAAATAAAAGAGAGAATAAAAGTCTTCCTTTGGTGTAAGAGAGCCCCAGTTGAGATAGTATTATGTGTTTTTCTCCCTTTGTGTCTTCCAGATTAAGGCTGGAGGGTTTGAGTTCTCTCCAGGGACACTGCTGATCTATTCTGACAACCTGTTGACTTTGCCAGCCATTATTGGCATTGGTGGAGGAGGCGGTCTTCTCTTGCTCATCATCATAATTGTCCTTATTGCATACAAACGAAAGTCTCGAGATGCTGACCGTACCCTCAAACGTCTCCAGCTGCAAATGGACAACTTGGAATCACGTGTGGCCTTGGAATGCAAGGAAGGTGAGGGATGCCTGCTACCATTCTGTCATTTATATTATTGTCAGTCCATTATTATAAGAAGAAAAAAAACTGCAGGTAGAAGCTGGTTTCAGCGTTCCCCACTACAGCACTGCTTTCTTTTCCATTTTCTTTGTTTTTTTTAAAGCACCAAACATATCACATTAGTTACTGAATGAATGAATCTTCCACCATCATGGGTAGATTGAGGTTTCCTTTATGGGCCTCTGTAGCATTCTACCCAGTTTAGTTTCTGTGATTTAGTTGTTTAGATAACACTAAAACTTCTTTCCTTCAGAAGACAGACTATTAGATTTGCAGGCTATAACCATGTGAAACAATCACATCAGATAGAGATTCTTTTTCTCATATCCACATCCTATAGTTTCAACTGGCCATAAAGCAATGCATAAGTTTAATTTAGAATTTATTTTCATTTATTTATTTTTTAATGATTAATCCATATAATGCAAATAATTTTCTGTAACGGAAACAAGTCAAGTTTTTTCTGTAAGCTATCTGGATGATACATTATCTGGAAACCACAGAACCATACAATTTTCAGGGAAGAAGATCAGAGTAGAAATGCAATGTTGCAAGGATATTAATCATAATGTTATGGTTCATAAATGCCCTAATTACAGGTAAAGTTATGTTACTAAACAAAAATCACAGTAACATGCTTTTTTCATAATGTTACAGAAAATTACTGCCTATACATTCTTGGTCACTCTGCTTTTTTTCACTGAAAGACCTTTTTCATTTGTTTTTACAGTCAGTGTGGTACAGTAAATGTCAGAATGGGTATAAGGGTACTTATATTCAGACTTGCTTTGGGTGAGACAGTATTATAACTATAATGTCAATGCTGCTAACATTGGATGGTCTTGCTTTGACAACAGATGGAAATACATTTATTTTTCTCTTTCCCTTTTAGAGTTAGATGATGCTGGGAGTGGGGATGTGGATGAGAATCCAGTTAGTCATAGCAACAATAACTCAGCCTATTATGCCCAGAGCTGATAAAGATTTGGGGCTGGAGAGCTGGGGAGAAAGCCCACCTTCAAGCTAATTGGGGAATGTGATTAATGACTATTAATTGGAGGAGGGAATTGTACTTTGCTACTTTGTGGGGGGGGGAATTCAATTTTTGGCTTTTACTATGTAGTGCCGATGCTTTGTTTCTCAAATAAAAGATTCTTTAAGGTTAACAATGCCTTGAAGTTCTTTTAAAAAGTTTCATCTGTCAGGACCATGACATATAATACCTGGAGTGCAAAAATTCAGATATCTGGGATTTTGTGGCTCTATAGCATGGGTTCTCAACATTTCAAGTGCTATATCTCCCTAAAATAATAAATACATTTCTGCAACATCTCCCTCTCCCATTAATAGAATAATTTCACTGGAGTTAAGGTTAAGTAAGAAGTAACTATACCACTTAACATTTGAAATTAAATCTTTATATATCACAGAATTTTTCGAACACCGTGATTGCTATCATGCTCTTGCCTCCTCCTAAAGCTAAAATAAATTCTTTTTCCAATCATGAATCTCACAAAATCTCCTTAGCGGAAATGTGTTAAGAAAGAGAAAAGGCTGCAAAAATCCTGCCAACTGCAATGTTTCTCAATATATCCCCAAAATACATTGAGACAGATTCCTCATTTTCTTCTTTTACTTCCTTAATTTGAGCCAGTGAATGAGACTCTTCACTGATAATTAAGAAGCCTACACGTGACTGTTTTTAAATAGTCTTCTGGGGGATCCTTGTCAGTCTGGGGATCGATTATTATCAAACCATAACTGCCCACTGCAGACTTGTGCAGGCAAAGCAGGGAGCAAAGCTGAGACTGACTTTCAACAATCCTTCCATTTGCAAAGCAAGCCAGCAACTGCCTTGCACAAAGTGGGAACAAAGCCTAGAGTGAGATCTGTTTGTGTTCCTACTTTGCCCAATCAGAATGTACAACGTTTTGGAATCGCCACTTAGAGTTGATCATTGCACTTTGGGCAGGGGGCTCACAACTCACAATTTGAGCACACCTGCCTTTCAGTATCTCAGCATTACTTAGAACATGAGAAATAAAATGTATATTTGCTTTGAGAACAAGCTCTAAAAAATTAATGTTAGAGATGTTGCTCAACAGCTAAAACAGCACAGTAAAACAGAAAGTTATAGGTGAACATTATATGTTATCCTAAAAGGGATAAGAATGGATCTTTTCCACCAATATTAACAGCCTAGAATGTTGTTGCCAAATAACGAGTAATGATCAGATTTGTACTGCTTCCAGTTTTGTTACCATGTTATATGAACATGAATAGGAAGCCATTCACCATGATTTAAGACAAAAACCTTTAGCATGGTTTCCTCCAGGTATATTGTAATTGTAATTACCAGAATTCCCCTGTACCATTGGCCATTCTGACTGGGGAGTCTGATTGGCAGGGCAGCCATCATATGGCAGGTAGGTCAATGCTGATTTAAAAAACCTAGGAACCAGGTTTATGCTGTAAGCTTTAGATACTGCTTTGAGGTCAGACGAGGCAATTTTATTGAAGATTTTGTTTAGTACAGTTGGAAGGAACTTAGCAAGATTTTAAGAGGAAAAGTTTTAAAGGAAGAGAGAGGTCTGCTTGTGAAAGACATGGGTCTCTCATTATGTGACAGACAGATGCTGAGAAATTGGACAGAATACTGTTTCTGATCCTGCTGATAAAACCTAATTGCCCATTATCACCACAAGCCAACGCCTGGGGCTGTGACCCTGCCAACTGCAAGTTGGCCCAGAAGCTGCTATAGAAGCAGACTCCTAAAATTAGATAATAAAAAAGGAAGTTTGGGGGGGAAAAAAAGCCCTGTAGATAGAAATAGTGACAAAGTGATTGGAGAAGGAGGGAGGGAGTACAAGGAAAGGATTTTGCCTTGTCTTCCGTAGCTGGCAGATAAAAGGATCTGCTTTTAATTAAAAGCTGCAGTATCTTCCCTGCCTTTTCTCTTCTGTAGTCCCACTAGTTACAGATAAGATAGTGTGCCTTTCAAACTGACGGTTTGTTTTTTTCTCATCAAACTGATCAGCCTGCAGCCCTCTGCCATTTCTAGCTTCCTTTTAAAGTGCCATTAATTTGATTTTTTTCCCCCTGCATTCCTCTCCTCCTTCAACTAAAGTCCCCCTCCCCAGCTTTAGAACTCAAAAGCAAACAACCTGGTTTGTCGTAGTCGAATTTAAAGCTGTAGGGTGTGCCCTATTTTTCTTGTGAACAACCCAGCCAAAAACTATATTCCTACAGAAGAGAATATCTGTAGCTCAGAGTTGAACTGTGGAGTCTTTGGTGCCCTCTGAACTTAGTAGTTTGCTTGCAGACATTTCATTACACCCAACTAAGTAATATCAGTGCGAGTCAGGGCCAGGTTTCCTCCTTGTTTACATAACAGGGCAACCTACTGTATATAAACAGGAAGCAAACCCCATTGATGATATTACCTAGTTGGGAATTGAAACATCTGCAAGCAAATGACTAGGTTCAGAGACCACCAAGGGCTCCATAAGTACTTTATCACTGAATGGTTGTTCCATTTGAAAGATGGGAAAGAAGGGGACAGAATCACTTTTCCTTTGTCTAGTCTAGTCTTCCTTAAAGAAAAAAATCTGCCTTGATTTTTTTTTTAGTATCTTTTTGTATATAAGTTCAAGTCAAAGTTCACACTGAAGTATTAGTCCAGATCTACCACTTTATTCTTCAGTGTCAGAAGGCTAAGCTATTTTCATTGAAGAAACAACTACTGGTTGAGTTTTGAGACCATGAATCCTCTAGGTTCTCTTTTCATAGTTAAGTAAGTTATGATGCCACTTTAATGAATTAATTATATTTCCACTTTAAATAATATTTTAGCTGACAGTACAATTGGTACTATTAGTCCATTGAGTTCTTGAAAGGAAGGTTTATCTGGGCACCTTTTTTAATCTGCTGTTTCCTCCCCAGCTTTTGCTGAGCTGCAGACTGATATCCATGAGCTGACCAATGACTTGGATGGGGCTGGCATCCCCTTTTTGGATTATTGCACCTATGCCATGAGAGTCCTCTTTCCAGGAATAGAAGACCATCCTGTCCTGAAAGAAATGGAGGTGTGGTAATGGGTGTATGTGTGTCTGCTTGGATAATCTTTAATGTTGCATTAATTTCTTGAGCTTTGTAGGGTTAGGCCTTGAGGAAGAAGGATTTGTTTGTGTTTTTTTTGCTGCAGCGGTTCTCTCTTATAATAATATCTCTATACTCTTATATATATATTTTGTGTGTGTATTATTTGTGTCTATTGATGTTTCTCTGCTTTAGGATATTGGTTTAGACTAACCTGAATGATCTCAAAATCATCAATATCCCATGATTCTTAATTTCCCATTATCCATAAAGATTTGCTAAAGAAGGTACATTCAAGATGTTGATTCTTAAAAAAGCTTAAGGGATTGCTGGTTTTAGAGGCCAAGTAGTGTGGATATTGGTGGGATAACTATAATATTCTCACCAAGGAAGGTTGTTCGTAATGTTCCATAATAAATCCATACTTTGAAAAGACTAATCTGACAGTGTTTCTTAAATGCTGGATCCAATCATAGGCATTTTTGTATTCAGTGGAGGTAGGTATTATAAAACCCCCACAGAGAATATGCCAATATTGGATCAATCAACTCTAAAAGTCTTCCAGGGGTTTCAAACTGCAAGTTCTTGAACCCTAGCCCTCACTGCCAGGGACATGATTTATGAGCTTTATGATCAAATATCCATATGATAGCAGATTTTGGCTTCTGCATTTATAGCTGGTTCGAAGATAAAAAAATGATTTTTCTGGAGCACTTTTTCAGGGGGGTCTCCTCTTCCTATAAAATATGGCACATAAAGATTTTGCAAACATGACAAACATCTTGTCAAGTAAGCCTTTTAGTTTTATTGAAAGAGAGCTGAACATTGGAGAAATTGACATGAACCATGGTAGCTAGCAAAACTGTGTCTTACATAAAATTTGAACACCCTCCCTTCCAACAGTCATGACTGAGCCCTCACTAAATCACTCCTGCTATTGCTTTATTCTTGTATTCCTTCTAAACTGGGGAGCATGGAGACTAATTCAATTATTATTGCCTTAATTGTAATGAGAATAAGAAGTACCAGTTCTACAGACAGCATTGCTTGATAGCAACCTGGAGAATTGAGGAGCATCTTTTAAAAATGTTAATAGATAGGTCAAATAGGGTAAGCAAAGAGGGAGCCATAGGAAAGCATTAAGTGGATCATAAAGTTGTTACTAAGGTCAGTTCAAGTAGTAAGATTTTAAGCAAAGAGTAAGAGAATGAAAATTAGTTAAAGGCAGAGAACAACAGAAGCCTCTTGCTGACAGCAGAATCTACTTGAAAAGTGGCACAATAAAAAGCAGTTAAATTTTAAAAATCATTCAAGTAGATGTTGTCCTATTTTGGTGTTGTCCAGAGAGCAGTTTGTACAGCAGTGCTTCTATGACAAGGGCATTACTGCCATGTCCATCAGTCTCCTTTGTGAGACTACAACATGTGGTTCTTTCTAGTTGTATTGTCTAAGAGTAAGCTTCGAGTGTTTGTGGATTTTTGCTACTTTGAGCAGATTTTTTGTTCGTTTGTTTTTTCTTTGGAAGGCATGGATTGCTGAGCTGTTCTTTGCCTCTGGATTTCACTAACCAATCCATTTAGAATTCTCTCTAAATGATTTCTCCAGCACAGGAGATGGAGAATCCACCAATGGGTTTAGACCAGTGGTTCTCAACCTGTGGGTCGGGACCCCATTTGGGGTCGAACGACCATTTCATGGGGGTCGCCAAACAAGGCTGTCTGCCATTTTTCCCCCTTTTCTTTGGCCACGCCCCTGGCACCCGGTGATGTATAAGTGGTTGGGGGTCACCACAACATGGGGAACTGTACTATAGGGTCACGGCATTAGAAAGGTTGAGAACCACTGGTTTAGACTGTGTTCTTGCCCAATCAGATCAAGTCAGCCAAAGTTGCCACGCCTCTCCTGGGCTAGAGGATCCCAGTCTTGACTTGATCTTGCCCAGGACAGATGTGCAAGTTTGGCCCTTAGGCAGGTATAGTCTCCATTGGTGGATTTTCCATCTTTTGCTATTTACCAGTTTTTCTGAACAGTGCTGGGTTCAGCGCTGGGTTAGGATTGTTCTTTTCTTTCCAATCCCCCCCCCCACCTTCTTTAGTTTCAAGGAGAGGCTTAGGAAAGCCCTTTCTTGTGTTTTGTTACCTTTTGGTTTTGTTTTCCATCCCCCCCAGTCATTCCTCTGGTGAGTATTTCATCCCTCAGAGGCAACAATAGTTGTTTTTGTCTTTTATATTTGTTTGAGTGCCTTCCCTTGCCAGAGCCTGCGGCTGCAGCTCCTGGGGGGGGAAGCTTGCAATCGTGTGCACAGGCCAAAGGGGGTGATGAAAGTTCAGCGCACTTCAGGGAGGTTTCTCTAAGGCTTGTGTTACTGATTGTTGTTGCCGGGACTGCGGCTGCAGTTCTGGAGTCCTTGTGGACACAAATCTTCACTAGTGACGACCGGGGGGTTGTGGCTGCATTCCCAGCATTCTATTGTGTGCACAGGCCCAAGAACAACAATTGGGCCTCAGCGCGGGTCAGGGAGGCTTCCCCGCGGTTTTCAGCTGCTTTTCTGGTTACCGGAGCTGCAATTGCAGCTTCGGAGGTCGGGCAGCCCGAATACTTTACCTGGCTGCTGGGGGGCTTGCAGCTGCATCCCTGGTCGCCGGACAAGTGCGCGTCGTCTCCCGATTGGTTTTTTTGTGAAATCGGCTGGCGGCTCCATGAGGTGGCAAAAATATTCGGGCTGCGCAGACGAGCTCTGTCTCTGTTCGAAGGTGGCGACAGCGCCCCTGGTGATCGCGATCATCACCTTTTTGCCCAGTGAATCTCAGAGCCTATAGGAACCCAGCGCACTTACAATGTAGTGGCCTGTTAGCCATTTCACACTCGCAGCTGCCATTTTGTGAACACTAGAAACTTTGCACTAGGACCCCTTCGTCCTGAGGAAGGGGTCCCTCCCTCCACCCCAATCTTAATTGGGGAAATAGTCTCAGCAAATTTTCACATTGGAGGAATGGCCGCCATTTTGGATCTGGCCGCCATTTTGAGAATCATTAGTTCTTTTTCTCCTTCATTGGCCAGCCTTTATTTGGGGCCTGCACTAATACTCTTACCTGAACAGGATTACTAGGCCAGAAGTCCACTAAATTTGTATCACCATCTTGGAGGTCTTGAATTGGTGTCTCCTTCTCAACACACAGCATTGTGGTTCACACATACTCTGTCTTAGCTTCCCCTGTAGGATTCCAGGTGTACTCTTTTGTGCACCTGGGTCTATCTACAGGTTTTAAAAATCTTTGGATTCCAGGTGTACCCTATCGTGCATCTGTGCTGTCCACAAGATTAGCAGTCCTTGGATACCAGGTGTACCCTATCGTGCACCTGTGATTATCCATAAACAACAGCAGCAGTTTCTGGATTCCAGGAGTACCCTATTGTGCTCCTGTGGTTATCCATAAACAACAACAGCAGTTTCTGGATTCCAGGAGTACCCTATCATGCTCCTGTGGTTATCCACAGAGAAGAAAAGCAGCTGTCTCTGGATACCAGGGGTACCCTATCATGCTCCTGAGATAATCCATGAGGATGGAGGATACTGGCTCTTCCAAGAAGGGAGCTTCACCACTTTCATCAGCCTCTAAAAGGCATAAATCCTCCAATCAGGAGGCTGCAGGCAAACTCTCGGCCAAGGCCAAGGCCAAGGTCAGATCTGCAGGCAAAACCTCTAAAAAGGATGAAAAACAGGCCAGTAGGAGACAGCAGGCTTTAGAGAGGGAATTCTCTAAAGCACAAAGACAGGCCAAGACTGAAGCCACTCAGGCTGAAGTCCCTTCCTTTGATTTGCCACTGGGACCTTCTGCTTCCCCTCTGACGATTCCTCACATATTGGACTACTTCTGGAGGGTCTGGAGAGGGGTTTGGCTCCAAACACACTACGCAGACAGGTCACTGCTCTTTCCACCATACTTACATGTGAACCTGCAACTTCCCTTGGTCACCATCCCTTGATCCGCTCGTTCATCAAGGGTGCTACTAACACCAAGCCCCCTGTAGTCCATAGGTATCCCTCCTGGGAACTACCGAGGGTTTTGCAGGCTCTTACCAATTCACCCTTTGAACCCCTCAAAACATGTGATTTGCGATATTTATCACACAAAGTAACATTTTTGGTGGCTATCACCTCCGCGCGGCGGATTTCCGAATTAGCTGCTCTCTCCACTAGAGATGATTTGTGCATTTTTCACCGGGACCGAGTGGTCCTTCGTCTTGATCCGACCTTTGTTCCAAAAGTAAATTCTCTATTTCACAGGACTCAGGAAATCGTATTACCAAATTTCTGTCCTAATCCATCGCATGCTCTGGAAAGACAGTGGCACCTGTTAGACGTCCGCAGAGCACTCTGTTATTATATCTCGCAGACAGCTGTCTTCCTCACTACCGAGGCCCTTTTCGTTTCCTATCATCCTCCTTCTAGGGGCAGGAAAGTGTTCTCCTCCACGATTGGCAGGTGGATTAGGGCTTGTATTGCAGAGTCGTATCGGGCGGATTCAGTGCCGGTTCCAGGGTGCATTACGGCCCATTCCACCCGTAGCGCGGCTACTTCCGCGGCCTGGGCCACTCAAGCATCCATTGAAGAAGTTTGCAGAGCAGCCACATGGTCCTCTCCGTCACCCTTCGTTAGACATTACAAAATTGACAAGTTTGCCTCGGCGGAGGCCTCCTTTCGCAGGAGAGTTCTACAACAAGTACTACCTCAAAGTGCCACACGGGGCAGGCCTGATTCCCTCCCTCAGGGACAATAGGCTTTGATATGTCCCATTGGTGGATTCTCCATCTTCTGTGCTGGAGAAGGGGCGTTGTCTTACCTGAACACCTTTTCTCAGCACTGAGATGGAGAATCCACTCCCACCCTAGTAGGTTATTAGGCCTAGATCTATGTTTATCAGCCAACACATCTTGCTGTCAGTCATGGCTTCGCCTGCGTCGAGACTGGGATCCTCTAGCCCAG